TCATGACCAAGAGGCCACCACTGGCCATACCTGCCTCGCAAAGCCGGCTGTCTCTTTGCAAGAGCCTCACATCGGGCAAATCTCACCGCCTGGCCATCTCTAGCGCAACAGCTTATCGGCCAAGAGGATGTGGCCGTGCCGAACCAACCAGAATAATGACCTCACTTTGTTATATATATAAGCTTGCATTCTTCAGTCACGATACATTTACTCGCAAGTGGAAACAGAGCTTGAGTTTTTCTTATAGCCACTGAAGTCTAATATCTGCACATAGCAATGTCCACATGATCAAGTTTGCTGAAACAAAAATGTCTCTGCACACAACATTGCTAGTGTGATAAAATTTGCAAAGTAAACTTATAACTGCAAGGTCATATAAACAATCGAGTTTATCTTGTTAATCCTTTGGAACCAAAAGTAGCGATTGCAAAATGATGGTCTAAATTGACATTCACCGGTCTACATCCTTTATTTTGCCCTATGCTAACTTTATTTTGCCCTCTTCTAAAACAACATACCCTCTTGTGTACTCGACGGAGGACTACAATTACGATGTACACAGATGCTTATTACGACCGATCCCTCTCTATGCGCCTCAGTTTATATTCAGTCTCAAGCTGGCCAACATGAATCTACAATAAAAGTGACTGCAGTTACTTCTTCGGCTACTCGGTATGATGCTGCGGCTCAAGTTGTCATACCGGAAAATACATGGTTGCCTCCTCATTTCATCGCATAATGCTACCAGTAGGCTGAGGTCATGATGCTAGCAAATACTCCCTCCGTCTGAAAATAAGTGACTCGACTTTGTACTCCCTCTGTCCCAAAATAAGTGACTCAAATTTGTACTAACTTTAGTATAAAGCTAGTGCAAAGTTGAGTCAGTTATTTTGGGACGGAGGGAGTACATGGTTGCCTCGTCTCATCAGATAATGCAACTGGTAATAAAGCAATTAACTTCCAGGACTCAAGTATGAATTCACACAAATGGCAATTGAGACCCACTTT